ACGACGAACCACTCTGGGCGTTCATGGAGCGATTTGCCGCCACCTCGGTTAAGATCAGAAATCTGAACCCCGAGGTCGCCCTGCATGCCATGCTTATGGCACTCAAGCCCGGACCATTCGTCGACAGCCTATGTCGTGAGTCTCCTCGCGACATGGACGAGCTTCGCGCTCGCGCGGCAGGCTACATCCAGATGGAGGAACACTTCGCTTTCCGTGACCAGGTTTGCGGAAAAGGACCAGCGAAGCCGGAACAAGGGCACAAGGAGAATCATGGTTCGATACCTCCTTGTGGAGGCCAACACCTCCTATAACATCATCATTAGGAGGCCGACGTTGAACCAGCTTGGGGCAGTGGTGTCCACTCTGCACCTCACCATGAAGTTCCCAGGAAGCGACGGTAAAATCATCTCCGTCAAAGCAAATCAGAAGACGGCTCGGCAGTGCTACGCCGAGAGTCTGAAGATCTCCTCGTCCAGCAAGCAAAGCAAGGGAGATCCCCCACCGTAGCTCACATCACCCGCAAGGAGGCCACTGACCTTGGCCCGAGGACCGATCCCTGTAGTGAAAGATCGAGCCCCGCTAGCAAGCCCAAAGACAAAGCTCAAGACACCAGAGCTCCCCGACTACAAGAACACGGCAAAGAGCCAATGCCGCACGCTACGCACCTTAAGTGCCATTTCAACTAATTGTGTATGAACGAGTTGTGCACTCTTTTCCTGCCTCAGTCTTTGTTTTGACTGAGAGGGTTTTTAATGAGGCACACGGACATAATCAATGAAATGACTCATTCTGGTCAATCCATATTCTTATTTTATGTTCTTATCCAAGGTCGAGTTCGAACCTTAATAAAATCATTTTTGCTCCAATTTAAGGTCGAGTACGAACCTTAAGCATGCTCATCCGAGGTCGAATCCGAACCTCACTAAAGTTTGAGGTCGAATACGAACCTCAATAATCTTATCCAAGGTCGAGTTCGAACCTTAATAAAATCATTTTTGCTCCAATTTAAGGTCGAGTACGAACCTTAAGCACGCTTATCCGAGGTCGAATCCGAACCTCGTTAAAGTTTGAGGTCGAATACGAACCTCAATACTCTTTATCCAAGGTCGAGTGCGAACCTTAAGCACGCTTATCCGAGGTCGAATCCGAACCTCGTTAAAGTTTGAGGTCGAATACGAACCTCAATACTCTTATCCAAGGTCGAGTTCGAACCTTAATAAAATCATTTTGCTCCAATTTCCGAGGACCTCGGCATTATCGACTTAAGGTCAAAATTCGAACCCTCACAAGAATTAGTTAACAAAAATCGGAGGTCGAGCTCGAACCTTCACAAAGATACAATAGACACCGGGTATATCTCTCAAAACGCGCAAAAAAGGAAAAATCAGGCTTAAACGCAAAAGCAAAAGAAAACGCAACAACAAGACAAAAATACATATATACAAGTGATGCTTCCAGAGTTCTACACTCGAATTCAAAACAGAAAGATAAAGCAGAAAAAATTTAGCTAAGCCAGTACAAAATTGGCCTACGCAAAGGCATTCTCGCTGGAGTTGTCCTCGACATCATTCTCCCTTACCAGCTTCCCAAAGCGGACGACCTTCTCCACATGCATAGCGGAGAAGTCAAACCCCGGCGCAAGGAGCCTGGCCTGGCGAGCGGCCTTGAGGAAACCCTTCTTATGCTCTACCACAACAGAGTGCTCGGTCTCCTCGAGTTTCCTCTCCAGCCCCGCTTTGGCCTCCTCCAGCTTCGCGAGGTCCACCCTCAAAGCGGCATTCTCCTCCACTTGGCCGCCAAGAACCACCTTGTCACAGAGACCTTTCTCGGCCGCCGCCACCAGTTCAACCTTCTGCGCAGTGACCTCATCCTCTAAGGCACGCATACGAGCTCAGGAGGAACTGGAGAGCTCCTGCAAGCCGCGAACCTCCTGCAAGTCGCGAACCTGAGTAGCATAGGTCTCGTTCGACTGCAGGGAAATCTCTAGAGACTTCCGAAGCCTCTCCACCTCCATTCGAGTAGCTTGAAGCTCGGCTTCGTTACGCAGCTTAGCCTCCCCGAGAGCACCTTCCAAGGCCCGGTTCTCGTCCTTCAAAGCCTTGCTCCCCTCCCTTAGGGCCTTGGCTTCTTCCTTCAAGGGCTTAACTCGGCCATTCAGCCTGGCCAGGTCCTCCTGCTGCTTGGAACACTTGTGCTTCTAGTGGTCAACAATAGCCATAGTCCTCCAAAGAAAGACTTGAGCAGCGTCAAAGCCTTCCACAGGCCCGACCTCCTCGATCATCCCCTGATCCTCCGAGCTCAACGTGCCCTCGGGGAAGAATCTCTCGGCAGTCACCCCAGCGCTCCACAGCGAGTTCATGTCGGCCGAGGCACTCACATGGTCCAGGCGCACATCAGAGCGACCCTCCCCGAGCCGGTGAGCAATATATCGGCTCCGGGAAGCCCCCTGTGACGGCCCTGACGATGGTGTAGAGGCCACAGGCGTAGCCGGAGGGACCTCGGAACTTGGCCCCTTGCCGCGAACTGTAGCAGAAGCAGAAGCCGGCATCCCCCGCTCGACACCAGGGGGGTCCACGTCTGGAACCTCCGACCTTAGAGGCACCGGGGTCTCGACAGCGCCCCCTTCCTGCAAAAACCGATCTCATGTCAAGAAAAAAGAATCTACCATACAAGGTAGAGGGAAAAGAAAAAATTGAGGTACTCACCTTGGCAGCATGGGCGACCTACTCAACAAACAGGACCTCCACCTCGGTAGCTACCCCAGCCTGCAAAGAGAGACAGCACCTCAACAAACCAAGCCCAATCAACATAGAAAATAAATTAATGCACAAAACACCCACCGCGGCAGAGGGAACAGCTTGCTCAGAAGTCCCTCCAAAAGCTACTTGGGAACCCCCCCCAGGCGGAGGGCTCCCAGTGAGATCGACTGCATCGGCATCTGCAGCCTTGGAGGTCACCTCCTCCATTCCGCGAAGGGCAGAGGCCCCCCCGACCTCTTTATCGCCCCTCTTTCTTTTTCGGGTGACCTTCAGGGGGGAAACCTCCTCCTCTGGAGGCTCAGGGACCTTGAGCTCGGTCACGTTGTAGCGGTGCTTCAGCTCGCGCCACTTATTCCTGCCCATTATGCCTACAAACACAGCATACCGAAGCACATCAGAAAAAGGATTTTCGCAAACCTTAATAATCTAAAAAGAGGGTGAAATACTCGCTCTCCAGGCCCCTCTCCCTATATGCTGAGTTCGCAAGCAACAGAACGAGCTTACAATCCAGCGGACGAGGAAGCGCTACGAGATTCTCAACGGCGGCCGCCTCAGTTTCAATTGGCCAACCCCATGAAACCTGGACGGTTCAGAGCACTAGTAGAACGGGAACTTCAGCAGCCCGCCGAAGTAAAACCCCCCATCCTCCAATGGGTTGACATCCACAAGAGCGACCCGGAAAAACTCTTGCTTGAAATTCTTGTATGAGTGGGCGTAGAGGGGAAACAAACCCCCATCCCTACTCCCGCTTAGGGACAGTATGCCATAAGGCGGAACGCCTATCTTCAACTGATAAAAATGAAAAAAAACGAGAAGGGACACCTCTACCCCTAGCACTGAACAGAGGACTTGAAAAGCCCTCAAAAAACCCCAACTATTGGGGTGCAACTGGCAAGGGGCCGAGTTGACAAAATTCAAAAAATCACACTCAAATTGGGTGATGGGAAGGCAGACACCTAAATCCCTAAAAAAACAATGGTACATATAAAAATGGGGAGAGTCAGTGGACTTCCCCGTATACACGCCCTCTCTGGCCTGACACGGTTCAAGATGGATCATTCGGGACACAAAAGGGTCACAGATTTTGAGCGATCTCAAAACCGCATTGACTTCACGAAATGACCGGAAAACGCTTTGGGTCTTCGCCATCTCGCGCCGAACCCAGTCAGACCCTGGAATGCCTGGAACGAGGTCTGATGGCGGAGCCACCTCCTTCTTTTTCGCGGCGACGGTCGCACCGGCAGCGGCGCCTTGCCCTTGGCAGGCGCGGAGGAACCAGCACCACTCCCTCCAGCCATAAAGACGACAAGAAAGACCCAAAGAAGAGTGGGGAAGAAAGAAAAAGAAAACTGCAGAAAGAAAGTACCTGGTACTCTTCCTCAGAAAATAACCCTAACAATGACTGGGTTACCGAAAACGATGACGGGGACTGTGAAAATGGAGACGGAGAACGAACGGAAGCAAGAAAGCAAAGAGAACTATCGTACTCGAGAAGCCAAAGAGTGGAAGAAAGTAAAGTGAATGAGAAGAGACGCGGGAGAGAGAAAGAAAAGGGTTTTTCCCCAAATTCAAAACGGTCACGGCACGTGTCAGCCAAAAGACACGCCTGATCACACATTAAATGAGGCCATCATTGCATAACCGTCGCGCCCATTAACGCGCCGGCCTCGGTTATCGAAATGAGAAGGCACCTTGATAGGCCAACGTACGCGAAAGGTCACTTCCCTCTAGCGAGCTTGGTCTTAACTCCTCGACCTACGGTCTTCAGAGCTCGGGGGGCTAGTGTACTATCCGTACTGCGAAACTGAGCTCCGAGCTCGGCATCACAGCGCAAGATGACCTCGGGCACGCGCTACGCGACGTCAGCTCGGCATTTAAGTAGATCATAACTGATCTCAGGGAATCTCGCTCTAGACGAGATCCATTATCTAATCTTATCATATCTCATCTCAGGCCCAGGGCCCAAAGCAACCATAATTCACACTAAGGTACGTGCATTACTTATACGAGACTCATACTCATACAAACCCTAACTTTAGCATCGGAGTCTCTTTTGCAGGTACCACCCCCATCTTGGAGCATCAAGCGTACCAGCGAAGGAGGCTCACCAATCTTACTCGGAGGATCATCTCTACAGCAAATTTCCGGTAAGAACACTACATATGGAGTATCTTTATGTTGCATGGTACTAAGATGTAATATCCCCATGGTGTTACAAAATACATTGACTATCACCACTCTCTATCACAAAGCACTAAAAAACATATTTAAAAGCATAGAGTCTTTAGACAATTGAAGACATATCTTAGTGATACAATAACTATTATATAGTAACACATGTTTATATAATGTTAATAACTTTTAGACACAAAATAAGTGGTTTATGTTCTATTGTACATGTTTTGGAAATTATTTTAATCTTCGAACACGTTCTTATCTAATTAAAGGCATGAAGAAGTACTCTATGCTCAATAACTGCAAAAAAAAATAAATAAATCAATAAATCAATACAAAATCTTGTTCTACTTTGTATGAAAAAGATAAAAAGAAATGTAATTGCAAACATTTTGAAATGAAATATATAAATAAACTAGTAATAGTTCACATCTTTGTATGTTCTATGCTATGAACGGTGTTCAGTTTTTCACCAAAAGATGAAATTAGATTGATTAAGAGCATCAATTTAGTCATAAAATTTCATTGTCACAAAGAAAAAGCTCCAATTTCACTAATGTAGCATTTTCTTTTTTATTTTCTATTGAAAATAAGAAATCAATAGAATGCAAACAACCTTATTTCTAAAGACAAGGGAAAGTAATTGGATATTTTTTTTATAATGGTAATCTTAATATCGAATTCCTTAAATGCTAAATAGTCATTGAAAATTTACCTTCCATATAAAAAAATAAAAGGATGCTATGGAAGCATTGTGTCTCAAATCTACAGATTTGGCCTTAAACCAGAGAATTGAAGCTAGAACAGCATGTCCGAGACCCTAAAACATTAGCTCCAGATAAATTTCACACATTTCTCAAAGGTTTAAACAATTTTATATTCGCTTATATCAATATATGAAACAATAGACATGTTTTCTCTTGAAATAATGTATTCTTTAAAGATAAATTTTTACCCTAAAAACTTATATCAAGATCAAAAGGTTGGAAATATCCTTTCCTAAGGAAATATTTCATCATATTAGAGAGTGACAATATTAAAGAAAAATGGAATCTATCGCACTATAGTAAACATTATATATACTTAAAGGTTCAAAGGGAGAAAGAAATTATGTCTAGTCTTTATTAGTTTTCCAACATACATTTTAGAAACTTGGCACGGAGCATTTACTTTGGATTATTTTTATATTTTTTTTTGTATTTTCTTATCAATAATATAGTCTTATTTGTTTGATAGAAATTGTTCCTATTAGACTTATTAACTTTAAGATTTTCTAATAGAAATGGGAAAAGGAAATGGAATACTTTTAATAATTAGGTTAGTTATTCACAAAAGATAGAAAAAATTAAGTTATAATATACTAATAATAGTCCCTTAGTCCATACTATATAAAGAAATAATTCATGGTATATAAGAAAAAATAAAATCAATCCAAAGAGATACTCTAAGTTTTTCTAAACCACTTAAGATATCACTAGGATATTATGGGACATTTGTTATATGTTTTAACACATTTTAATCAAAATCACAACCCGGTATTCTAGTGCAGAAAGAAATAATTAATTTTTGGTGAATGTAAGAGAAATAACTTCTAAAGTGAAATAATAATATAACACCTATAGTTGCAACCTATACAAGTAATAAGTATTTTACCGTTACAATTTTAATCCAAAGGGAAGAAGAAGATGTTGCTCCCATTAGGAGGGCGACTCCAAAAGCAATTTCAAAAAGGGAAACACAAATCCAAAATACCTAGCAAAGATTAGTTAGGAACAACCAAAGGAAAAATAGGAGAACACAATTAATTCTATTAAGATATTGAATTTGAAGAACATACTCGTTTCAAACCTATACGTGCTGGTAGAGAATAAATGCCAAATGTTTTATCTCCTTCAATGTCAGGTATATCCTATGCAAAAACAATAAAATGTTTTATATAAGGTACACTTATAAGGAACCAAAATTTTGATACTGGAAAGAAAAATATGCTCTAAGGAACTACAGGTTTTTACCTTGCATAATGACATACCCACAGAGAAGATGCTAACAAATACAACATTAAAAATCAATGATCTTGGAAAATTAGCTGGCTTCTTGAACACAAAAGTCTGTACAATGTTACATTAATTAGTAATAAAAAAATATACAAATTTCTTTCTTTTTTCTTACTTTGATTAATAACATGGAAAATGATAATAGAGAATATAGAATTCCTAGGACTATATGGCAAAAATATATATCATTACATAGAGAAGGTAGTTTGATAGTTTGTGATCACATGTACATATTTATAATTTACCGAAAATTTGTGATAAGTCTTTCATTATTCAGGTAAAATAATTATACTTGGCGTAGTCAACTTTCAAGATAAATGTAAATATCATGCTAGAGTAATGAAAGTGAAGTTCATTCATCTCTCTCCACATTCAACTTTCTCACTCACATCTAATGATTCAATTCTCATTAGTGAATTAAGATAGATAATTATGAATCCAATGAAACCAACATTAGAAATTTGGGAGAAGGGTTTGTTGTTATTGTTATTTACATAAAAGTTAATGTAGGTCACACAATAAAAATTTAAAATCATAATTGGCTATAGAACAAAACCTGCATGTGATAGAAAAAGGAAATTGGAAATATAAATGCCCAAGTAACAATCATGCACAATGCTGCAAGTAGTGGGTGTTTCTTCCATCTTAGCAAGGGCACCTGAAAAGTTCCAAAACATTATTATCACCATAAAAAAATTAAAATGTATTTTGTTATAAAATATTCATGTATATTAATCTAATAAATTGGTTTGAATTTGAATAATAAATTATAATGGGAAAATGTTTTTTTTTCAAGAGGTACTAAAATGATTTAACAAAAAAAAATCTTTTTTCGATGTCAAATAAAATATTTTTTATAAATAAATACTCTTAACTCAAAATAAATTATTTGAAATTTTAATATTTCAAAAAGTACTTTAAAAATGTTTGGGTTTAAGGACTTTAAAGTTTATTGGAAAAACTAGTCAAGATATTGGTGGGGATTCATAGCTAGGTTCTTTCACCAAGCTTGAGGGATTACAAATGGGTTCCTAATCATTGATTGTATGGATGATGGTGTAAACTTCATGTGACTTTATGAGAGATATCTCATATGATGGTTTTGGAACCAAAGACGTATGAAATGTATTCCTAAAATTGTTTTGATGATAAAAAAGTGATTACAATTTATGGAATGCCTAAGAAATTATTTTCTAAGATGTTTTTAAGTTAATAAAAATGTTTTGGCTCAAAATTGTAAAGGAGAATCCAAATATATTCAATATTGAGAGTGATAGTTCTCATTCTCACAAAAAAAAAAAATCGTTCTCACAATATATGTTACCTACATATAAATACTTCAATATAAATCGTGAGTTTCAAAATCATATTGTACCTTATCATATAAATTTAAATTAACATATAAAATATTTTTATGAATATTCTTTAATTTGAATTAATGAAACAAAGTATTAAATAGTTTTAAAATATTTTAAATATTTATAGACATGATTTTTACGTTCTAAACCTTTTATTCAATAGTTCAATCGTTAAATTTGAATGTGGACCATGAGTTATTGAGTGGAGTAAGTTTACCAAGACTTTCTCTTAAAGTAAGTAGATCTCTCCCTTGTATGTGTGTGTATGTGTTTTTCCTCTATACAAAATGCTCGAAGTTGTACCAAGACTTATACATGTAAGAACAAGTCATTCGTTGAAGCACCAAAATGAATAAACAATTAGTAGGAAGTTCATATTGCCTTTACAAAATCAAAATCTTCTTTTGCAATGTTTGTTTGACATAATCTATGCTAAATATTTTTTTTTTCAAAGAAGAAGAAGACACTTTTTTTTCACATAGGTGTCAAGACTTATCAAAAAGACTTCAACGTAATGTTGTAACATCCCACTTTTCAGCAATAGGAGAATAAGTGCACATAGGTGCATCCTTAATCATTTTTGTTTTGGAAAATAAATATGATTATACATTAAAAATATTTTAGTGATTGATTTAAAAAAATACTTATAGTGTTTTCAATTTTTTTTCTTCTGTTGGTTAAATTGAGTTCAAAAGCTGAGATAAATATGATGTATTAACTATATTAATTACCTATAAGAATTTATTTCCTTTCATCGAATATTAAAGTTTTTACTAAAATAATTCCTTTAATTTTGATTAATTAAAGTTAATTAGATATACATTACTATATTAATTTATTTGAGTGCATATAAATTCCATATTTTAGCTAGTAGTAAGTGTTTTTAAATCACTATCTATGATGGGAAATTGATGTTTCAAAAGTTTTTTCTAAGTCAAAATAAGACTCTTAACAACCTCCCTAAAATTTTAAAGAGTCAATTGTGAGATTAATTGGTTAATCTCATTGATCTTTTATCTCCTAAAGTTCCTCTCCTTTTGTTCTCTAAACTCCACACAACTTTCAAAATTCATACCTATGCATTCTAGACACTAATTCACTCCACTCAAAACACTTAACCAAACTTAAAAGCCCAAAACCCTTATCCTCACATATTTCCTTTTTCATTTCACGGTTAAAACATACACAAACACACACACACAAGCTTCACTAACACTCTTCCTTTTCCAAATTCTCTACAAGCACTTATCCCTTTCATCTCTCCCTCAATTTCAATCTTTCCCTCTCAAGTCTAAACATCATGCCTACCTTTCCATTTATCTCACCCTTCCATGCCAATCACAACACATTCTTTCATCCTCCATTCATCACATCCTTTCATCCACTATCAACCTCACCTACTTCTTCTTCTATTCATTCATCATGTAAACTCTAATGTCCATGAGACCTCTACCAGATCACCACCCTGACCTCCTCATTTTTCCTTCTTCATTCTCGGTCTCATTGTCCTTCTTTTTTCCAAAATTGATACCTTTTCAGGCTTTTGAGAGACTTTGGAGCTTTTCTTTAAAGTTTGGATAGAACCAATTCAACCTCGTTGAGTTCTGGATATCATCAATGAGTTGAAATGAACATATTTTTCTTTTTTCATTCCTTTTAACCATCATTTATGGGGTTTTGCATGTGAGCCTCCAATTTCCCAAATGCCACATAAAAACCATCTATTGTGATCTTTTTTCTAATCTATTTTATTTGAAAGGTCCTAGTATCCAGATTAAAAACTAGAGAGAAAGTAATCTCGCTTACAAGTTCAAGAGCGAAAAGAGAAAAGAGCACGAAAAAAGCTTGGAATGCCTTCAAGAAACCTTTCACAAACCCAAGGTAAGGAATGTGTGAGATAACCTACTATTAGGTTTTTGGAGTTAGTCAGAAGCACTAACAACTCATTTCTATACACTTTACTTTATGAGTTTGTATTATTTAACTATTATTTATTGAATTGGTAAATTATGCTTATGAATTATCTTTTTATTGTTTTGTGTGTATGGATTGTATGCCTCATGGATTTTAACAAAAACCTTGAGATAATAAAAATCTATAAGTTAGACTATCTCATTCAGTTTTTCTACATGACACTTTTGAGCCTTTGTACAATGTTTATAAGATTTAGAAATTTTTAGAATTGATTGATATATAAAGGCATGTTATATCAAATGATATTCTTGTACATGAAACTATAGATGGTGTGATACTCGATGAAATGTATTTGTTTAGTGTATTCTTAAGTTGAGTCAAATGATAAGTGATATTCTAAGTTGATAACTCCAAAGGAAAATGACTGTGTTGTGATAGATTCTTAATTGAATGAAATATACTCAAGGTGTATGAATTAGATGTGTTATTATGGGAATAAAGTACTAAATGTGCTAAACCTTCTTAAGACTGTTTTGTCCAAAATTATATGTTTATTCAGGACCCTAAGTTTTAAGATATTTGTTGAATTTGGCAACGAAAACCTTGTTTTTCTTAAACTCATTGATTTATTCCTTCTAAACTAGGATTTGATACATTGAGGTTTTGTAGATTTAAGATTTTTCTTTTAACCTTGATTGGTCCAATTACAAATATTTTTGTTTAAACAAGCTTTAATATAATGTATTTTAAAAAAGGGTTACACAAGGTCAGCTTTTTAAGAGAAGTGAATAAGCCATGACTCGTGAATACTTCCATCTATTTTAGTACCATTTAAAGTGCTTAAAATAAGCTTTGAACAAACACAACCATTTACAAATTTTCAAAAGTTAACTCATGATAACAATTGAAACCAATAGAAAAGATACAAAATAAGAAATAAAAATTAACAAACTCTAAGAGATGGAACAAAGGGAGAACTAAGAAGATGAACATCATCATTAACTATTGAGGTTTTGGGTTTGAGAAGAATAGCAATCCTATATCACCTCCACCTAAACCAGTAAAAGAGAATAAAGCTAGAAGAAGCATGTGCTAGCCTTGGAACTTAGGTTGATAGATAGTTTAATCAATTTTACACCACTACAACATTCGTACTGATATTTAAGAAAGGATGCTAAAAATAAAAAACTATTTCTTTCATCTTTTAGATGAAGTTTCTATTACAAATCTATTATAAACAACCAAATCTATAATCCCTTAGTCACATCACAACAACTCTAATTGTTGCATCATGGATACTTTTTAACTTATATATGAAACATTGTAAGATGAAAAAAGAAGTTTAAATGAAATTCAAAAGAACTCACATCGATTGAATAAGCAGTCCATACAAACAAGCAAAATAGAAGACCCCAAATCAATGGCCATGAACCGATAATCCAACCAAAACAAATACACTGTAAAAGATAGTAAAATAATAAGTCTTATTTAACTTTATCAATGAAACTCATACTGAAAATTATCATTATAATAAGGGATGAATAATCAATTTATCACCAAGGTTAAACATGATGCACCAACAATGACGCCAGTTTTAAATGATATTTCCCCAGAGGCCAATGGAAGATAAGGTTTGTTTATCTACAAGAAAGCATGTAACACAAAGTAGTAATTAGATAAACCGTATGATACGTCCTCATAAAAATTTGTAAGTTATAAAAAGTTGCATGTTTTCATTTCAAAGGTTATAATAATTAGGGAGATGATAAACCCAAATATAAAAAGGTATTTAGTGGTCAAAATCATATGAAGTGCCCAAATTATTGGGTGTGAGCATACACTCATGTACACACCCATTCTTTATATGTTTTTTAATATTTGAAAACAATTATTTCACCAACATTGTTTTTGATGGAACAATTCAAAAACCCAAAATAAATAAAAATATTATTTATTTTTTGGTTTATATTATTTATTTCTAATAATAAGTTTCATACCTTGTCTATTTCAATGTCGAATAATTGATTCACACTAGTAACATAAATATCCAAAAACAAGAATGGTATCATGGCCTGAAACATTTTAAAACAAAAAATATTAACGAAGTCAATTGTAGGTTATAATTAGCTACTTGAAAAGAAACAACATATTTAGAGTCTCACCTGTAACACGCCAATAAAAAATAGTGGAGATATATCTGATAATTTCTCCACTGCAAGGAGAGACGCGGAAATTGTGCTTAATGTCTAGCAAAAGAAAAATAAAATTGAACAATTTAAAACATTAATGATATTATACTATTATCCAAAAAAATGGTTCATACAAATGAACCAAATTAAGAATTGACAATAATATTTAAGGATTAGTTTTGAGAGTAATCATAGGAAAGATTAAACTTACTCGAGTAAAAATGGCTTGTGGAATGGAAAGCTTGTAGAAAGCAATCAACAAATATTTTAAAGAGGAGAAAATATTTTTGGGATCAGAAACATGAGGTTCGAAATCAGAAGATGGTTTAGGGATCGCTTTCACAACATATTTTTTATTGCATTCTTTGTTTGTGGACCCTCCTTCAATGCATTTATAATGATGGTGCCAAGTTGGTTGTCGCACCCTCCAAAAATTATATTTTGTTTGAGTTTTCCTTCTATGCTCTGAACCTGTTGATATATATAAGAATCTAGATCAACAAATGTTGAATACTATTGATATATAAGAATCTAGATCAACAAATGTTGAATCTTATATCAAAGACCATGCTCAATAGAAAAAAAAATCTTGTATTAAAACTACTACAATTAGGAAAACATGACAACAAATCAAGAATGAATAATCAATTTTAAAAACTTAAATTAAGTAAATCATCATCAAAATTTATTTTGTTAGAGTATACATTAAAAAAAACTTTAATGTAGTAATATTACTCTTTACAAATTGAGTTTGATTCACGAGTCATTTACACATATGAAACCTCTTTATTTGATCGTGTAAGACTTAACAAATTTGAAAATATTTATATTACTTTTTCATAGATTATTTTTAGTAATTTTTTCAAGGTTTTTGAAATATGAAAAATTAGAAGAAAAATGAATTTTCAAAGTAGAATGGATTTTTTAATATCTATCTTTTATCAATATA